TTAGAGATAATATGCATGTAACAGCACAGCTGACTTACATCAGATACTCAATAAGAGATAACTGCTTTGCCTGTCCAATTATCAACCTAGCAAAAACTCACATATGCAATTCAAGTGTACATGATAAAATTATAGCAAGTAACTAATAATGAATAACTCAAGATCAACAACATTGGTGAAAGTAATTTTCAAAAGAAATACCTGCTGACACCAGAAGACCTCCAGAAGGAAAAAGCAAGACACTCTCCACTGGCTGTCCATGCTCTACAGAGATAACACTCTCATTTGCTCGTGCATCAAACATCTTCACAGTATGATCATATGATCCTAAAATGTCAAATTGGGCATTATGTAAGTTTCACTGCTCAAAACAACAAAAATGTGTGTGTCAGTATTCAGATAAATATTAAAAGATGTAGATAAAAATTTTAAATTTTTGTAAATTCATGAAGATACAGTACCTTCAAACCCACCATACTATACTACAGAATCTTCAACTATTTCTATTTTCAGACTACTGTCACTACTGAGTCATCTGGGAATCTTTGCACAGGCACCCACAAAGAACATGAACCCCACTGTCTCTGTTTCTTCGTTGCTGAAGACTCTGCAAAAACCAGACCACTAAACTCACGAAGGTACTGACAGTTTTCAACGCAGCCTGATGTTCCAAACACATTTGGAAGACAATAAAAAAATCAACAAAGAAGAAAAAATTTTTTGAATAGGATAAACAAAAACATATTCCTTCATAAAAATTTAACTCCTAAAAGTCTATCCAAAAAGTCCCAAAGCAGTATTAAAATATTTCATAATAAAATAATCAACTTCATGAGAGGAAAAAAAGGAGTTTACCAACCTGTTACAAAGAGATCCGGATTCAATTTGCTAGCACATCCACACCTCACATAATCAGAATGTTCTTTGAATGTCAGAATTTCTTTGGAGTTTGGAATATCCCACAATTTAACTGTATAATCATCAGCCCAGAAACCACATGGTATTTGTCAGCTGTAAAATCTACTGTATGAACTGCTCTGAAAGATCAAGGATCAGTATATTAAAAATAGAAAAATTGTATTTCTGACATCTTCCAACTCCTCTCCTCCTGCCCGCCCCCCCCAAAAAAAGCTCAGTTTCTGAGCATAACTACAGGGGAAAGTCATGACCAAAAAAACCTTTAAAACAGGTGTTTGTCCCAAGCCAACTTAAAATTTTAAATAACCCCACACTATGAAAGTAATAAGAATATTAAACAATAGCTTTACAACTTTATTTTCTAATATGTTAGCAATTCTACTTACAATTCTAGCTGTTTAATTAAGATGAATGTTCTAATACAATCAAAGTGAAATGTTTCACTGATAGGTAACTACCCCGTTAACACATTATAAAAAACACTTGAGATTTTAAAATCAGTACCCAATTTTCACAAAGACATTTATAAGACTGAATACAAAGTTACTCTGAATAATTTAAATAATTCAGGGAATCCTGCAACAAAGCTGTAATATAAACTGCCCTAGCCATTCAATTTACCAAAGGGCAAAGTACTAAATCCAAGAAGAGAATCTAGCTTCCAACCTCAAATATAGTCCAGGCCTACATAATTCTCATTAGTAGTTAGTCTAATAGTTGCCATTAGACCAGTGTTTATAATCTCAACCAGGTCACAGGACTCAGTGAGAAGTTAATGAAAAGCTGCAGGATGTCTCCCTAGATAAATGCACATTTCCCAAAATGTCACACACAATTCTAGGGGATTCACAAGTCGCATGAAACTCAACCATGGGACCTAGGTTAAGCTCTGCCATAGGCCCACCAGGGGAAAAGTACCTGAAGTTACATAATATTCATGAATTTTTTTTTTTTTTAAATTCTCTGCTTTTACTCAAAGCCTAGAAAATGAATACAGCTTAGATTAACCAAAAAAAACAAAAAGGACACATAAAAACCAACTGTTGCTTACTTTGTATGTCCTTCAAACTGCCTAAGGGGAGCCCTTCCACTTATATCAAAAAGATGAACTCCACCATCTTCACTGCCAGCCACAAGCAGTTTACCGTCCTGTCGAAAAGTAGCACAGTATGCTGTGTCTTTAAATCGAGAAAAGGTTTTTACAGGTTCTTGGGAGTATCTGCCATAAATGTGAATCTACAAGATAAAAAACATGGTAACTCAACAGATGCCTCAAGATCAGTAGTAAATATAAACTATATAAAAAAATAAGGAATGCAGTATTATAGTTACCCTTGAAGAAGCTGTAACAGCATAATTATATGGTGGCTGTGAAGAAAAGTCTACTTTTGACACTGCGCCAAACTCCTTAATCTGAACAGGGTCTTAATGAAAAACAATATAAAGGATTAACAGAGTTACAAGTGGGACCAACACCTATTTAAGCATTACATAATTTCTTACAGACCATTTCTTTTTGTTCTTAGTAACATTTACTAGACTGTATTTAATACAAAGGTATAAAGAAAGCAAAAATTGCCCAAGTCCTGTCACCCAGACTATCTCTATTCCCATTAATGTAAAATAATATATGTTCAGAAAGTCACCTCACTCTTTTTGTTCAGCTGTTGAGTTTCCTGTGATTATGACTAGAAAAAGAAGTTATACCCACACACATTTAACCATGTATATTTGAACACACAGCATACTATGCAGGTCATTATATATCTTGCTTTCTATTACTTACTAGCACATTAGCTAACTTTTCAGGTAAGCTACAAATGTAACATCCACAACATCCATCATAATTTACTCCACCAGTTCACTATTAATAAACACAGGTTCTTCTAAGATTTCTAACATTACAAATAAGATTTCAATGAATGTTATATAACATAATATACATACATTGATTTTATACATATACATAACACACACACACACACACACATGTTGTTATCAATCATGTTAGCAAACTTTCAGGAGTATATTATTGAGAAAGTTCCAGGCTGTGAGACTAGAAAGCCAAAAGTTGTGTACATTGTTTTATGTCAGATAATGCCAAATTGCTCTCCAAAAAGTTTATAGTAATTCCCTTCCTCGAGTAGCAATGATGATCAAATTTTTCATGTGTGCCAGTATAATAAATGAAAAACAATATCTAATTTTACTTAATTTGCATTTCTTCAATTATGAGTGAAGTTGAGTCTCGTAATACATTTATTGGCCATAAAACTTTTTTTCCAGGGCCTCCCCGGTGTGGCAGCGGTTGAGCGTGGGCTGCGAAGCTGCCCGCAGCCTCTGCAACGCTGGTTCAATCCCCGGCCACCGGGGAGGGTCCCACATGGTGCGCAGACCTCTCCGCCGCCGCTCCCCTCAGCAGTGTACTTCGTCAGTCTGCCTGTTCTGCTCTCCGCTCTAGCTCTGGTGAATTCGCTCACCCTCCCCCACTTCTGACTGTACCCCAGTGCTTGTATAAATAAATAATAATCTTTTAAAAAAAAAAAAAAAACAGCTAAAGAAAAACCATAATCTTTTAAAAAAAAAAAACTTTTTTCCATAAACCTCACAATCTTTTCACATTTTCTACTTACTCATCTTTTAAAAACTCATTTGTAAGCTAATTTAGCAGTAAGAATTTTGCATCACTATTTCCTTAGGTTTTTTTTTTTTTTTTAAGATTTATTTCTTTATACAAGAACCAGGGTATAGGCCAGATGCGCGTGAGGGTGAGAGGCTTTACCAGAGACAGACTGGGAACAGAACAGGCAGAATGACAAAATACACTGCTGAGGGGAGTATTGGGCAAGACAGGAGAGGTCTGCTGCGACTCATGGGACCCTCGCTGGCCGGCCGGGACCGAACCACCGCTGCTGAGGCTGCGGACAGCCTCACAGCTCTGAGCTCAACCGCCTACGCCACCAGGGAGGCCCTATTTCCTTAGGTTAAGGCAAAAACATCTTCTTGTAGGGCCTCCCCGGTGACATAGTGGGTTGAGCGCTGCAATGTGAAGCTGTCTGCAGCCTCTGGAGCACGGGTTCGATTCGCGGCCAGCCAGGGAGAAACCCACATGGCACAGCATACCTCTCCTGTCTTGCCTGCTGCTCCCCTCAGCAGTGTCTTCGTCGTCTGTCTGACTGTTCTGCTCCCCACTGTCTCTGGTGAATTCCCTCACCCTTCGGCACCTCTGACTGTACCCCAGTTCTTGTATAAAGAAATAAATCTTAAAAAAAATAAAAAACTTCTTGCATGAGATTCAAATTATAAAATTCATTAATTAATCAAAATTCTAAACTTAAACTGATTAAGCAATATGGACTTTTCTATAAAATTCCTAGAAAAAAATATTAACTATCAACTGATCTGCCCAAACTGTAAGTTGCTGATAGATTAATTTTAGTTATTAGTTTTCATTAGAGTTCCACATTGTCATAAATGCAAATGCCCCCTCACCCCATGATTGACAAACTTACCTTATAGTTGTTCCAGTACAGCGTATCTTGTGTGATCTTTTCACCAAGTACAGGATATGCTTGAATAGCTACAGGCTTATAACCAGCCATAATTTCATATAATTGCACTGTTGTCCAGTGGTTAATCCTTTGGAATTGAGATTAAAATAATTATAATGACTCCGCATAAATCTGAAAAAGGAAATATTTTATATACATTACTCAATATTTTATATACATTACACAAATCTATATATAATTATGATTTCCACTCTGCATTCTTTGAAAAGTTTCTGAGGTAACTTACAGATTAATAACCATTAAACTATTAAATCTGTAAACACAGAAGACACAATCTAAAGGAAGCAAGAGGAATAAGATAGGACTACCATAGGTAGAAAGCACTGTGCTGGGTTCTGTGGGAAAAACACCAATTTCAAATAAAAAATGCTGTCTATAATATGAATATTGACATAGGAGTCAACAAAAGCATATGGGCCTTCGTGCCTTATTAGAGTATAGCTGAAGGAGTACCTAACTCTGCCTTCAAAGGAACAGTTTAAAACGAGTAGAAAGAAGCGAGGCGCAGTAGCAGCGTTTTGCCAGATTAAAGTGAGGAAGAGCATTTGGGAGGGGAAGGGGGAGTTCGATACAGCCCAAAGGCATGGAGGCAAGAAATCATGTGAAAAAGAAAATTATCGGAAAGAGGTCTGTGCCTGAAAACCTAGGACTAAAAGAATAACAGGTATTACAATACAATGTAGGATATCAAAAAACCTTAAGTACTGAGAGCTGAGAAGTGGTTTCATTAATTCTAACTGGGGGACTCCTGGAGAGATTCCAAGTGTCCACTTCAGCTGAGTCTTTAAATATATTATGACAGATTCGCCACTGAAGATGCACGCAAAAGAGGGGGGCGGGAGCATTCAAAATTGAAGGAACCTCATAAGACAGAAATGGAAACTGTCCACCGCTTTGGAAAGGGAGGATTACTCCGGAAACTGATAAAGGCAGACAGTTAGGGGAGGGTGAGCTCGTAGCGGAGAAAAATCTAGGTCGAAGCCAAACAGCCGAGACGCTGGCAGGCTGGTTAAGAAGTTGAGCCAATCTGCGGAAACTGAGATGCCCCCGTGCAGCATGCCAGATAGCAAGAAAGGCCCGACGAGCGTCGGGGCTACCCTAAAGGGAGCTGCCATCACCTACCTCCAATGGCTCCGAGGGTCCGCCGAGACTCCTCAGCTCCGAGGAGAACTGCTTGGGTTCCTCCAGTTCCCTCCCTTAAGCCATTCAGTATCACTTGCAGAAGTCACGAGGACCCTACAGGGAGGCGCGGAGCCACCGGGTAAATGGAACGGCCAGGCGGGTCGCGCGACGATGACGCGAGGCGCAGGCTTACGAGGCCCGCGCGGTCCGGTGACGCAGGGGGAGGTCAGATGGGCGGGGCGAAGGGGCGGAGGAGGCGTGGCCGGAGGCTGAGCCTGTGGTCTCGCTCCAGTGACCGGGCCTCTGCTCTGCCCAACGACCCTGTCTCCGTAATACTCCGGTAGTAAAGACAGCGCTGTGCAGCGACGGGGAAAGAAACCGGGAGGTTCGCTCGGCTGCAATGAAGCGGAACAGTTTTAGGCCAGAAAGCGAAAGAAGAAATCGGAAGTGACGTCGTGGCCAAAACAAGCCTCGATTTGGGGCCTCTAGGGCATCTGTGGCCGCAGATGGAAAGACCCGACTCACTCTCGGCTGTCGAAAGTGGTCGCGAGGCCCAGCGCTCTCTTCGTGTCGCCTTTCGGCCCGGATGCCCGGGGCCCGCCCGCCGCGGGTGAGCCCTAGTTTCCTCTGCCATACCTGCCCGGCGCTGGGACTGTCGGACGGAGCTGGCGGGTGGCGCCAGAGCGGACTTTCCCTCTGCCGCACCCTCCCTCCAGCGGGCTCCTGTCCTGGGACTCCTGTCGCCTGTGAGGCATCATTCATTTTCCTAGCACCTTCCTGTCCTTGCAAAAAAATTCCAGGATTAGGGAGAACCCAGGGACCCCGGCTGTTTGCATCCACTGGGCCCTGGCACAGTTTCCCGCTTTATCTCGTTATGCTCTCTCTTCCTTCACGTCGTGGTGAAACTGGCAGTCCTTCCTTAGTCTTACCTCTTGTTCTCACCGCCTCCTCGGGCAGCTATTATCCCCCTGCCTCTTAAGTCCTCGAAAAATTTGGTTGAGCCAGCCAACTTTGCTTCTCTCTAGAAGAGTGCCGAGATAAGTGTTCTATTTCCGCCATCTCCACCCAAGTATGATTGTTATTTTTCCGCCTTCGTCCGCAAGTATGTTTTCATTCTCCCCTCAACGACCGGTAACGCCACCTGTAAACCCTGATTTATACAGCATGGAAGTTCTCTAGAGCTGGAAAGACCCTGCATTGCACCTCCATTTGCATCACTGAACTCATTCTCTGTTCTAGTTTCTTTCTCTTCTTTTGCTAACTTGTATTAACTTTGTTACCTGTTTCTTTTTGTTGTTATTTTTTTTTACTTTCTACTACATGGAACTTTGGGGTTAGTTTAGTACTTCCTATTTTAATGGAGTGGGTGATGGGCTTAGAAGAGCTGGATAGTTACCTCAAAACTCCTGCATTTCTTTTTTCTCTTCTCTGTGGTGGATAATGATTACCTGTCCTGACTACTCAAAGGACTGCTGTCATAATCAACCTTAGGAAATGTCTTAAAACTGGAAGTGGTGGTACTCTATATATGTATGATTTGCCAACCTCGGCTCCACTGTGATACACATTTTTCTCTCTTAATTCCAATTTTAAAACACCTTGTATCCTCTCAAAATTTCTGAAGACAGTAAGCCCATGAGAATTTAACTAATTGTTCATTTTTTCTCTTTCTCAGTGATTATATAATCTAGGGCAATTATATATCTTGAGTTCTTCACTTTTT